CAAAAGAAAACAGGTTTAAGCACACACAAAAACAGGAAATGAAATGGGAAAAATGAAGTAAAGCAGGCGGTAGCTGAAGGTGGAATCCAACTTTGCGTCCCAGAAATTGTTTAACTAATCTAATGTTCTCGCAACAAAATAACGCGCCATAAATAAACGCAGAAATTTACTTACATTTCTTACTTACTTATAGCTTAATGGGTGTGACAAATTAGGAATTTTTTTACTGACTTATACTTTATAGGCTTTCTTGATATTCCTGAAAAAAGTTGGTGGTTAGGAGGTCATTTACTTCAACTTACCTGAGGTCCAACTTACCATTCTGGAATTAGATTAGTACAGTTCGCGGCGCTAAGCGCCGCGCAAACCTTCAATTTACATGCGCAACAACTTGTCGTTAATTTATCTTATTTGGTTTGTTCAACTTATTCATATTAAATTGGAGCTATCAGTTTAGTGTAAGATTATTTTGTAGTTAGTTGATTTTAGTTTTAGTTACTCGTTTTTTATCTAGATATTTCCCAATATTTGCATAATTCCACGTTTTAGTTACGGCACGCTTTTTGTTGACAAACATTAGATTATTTAAATAATTATTCCTGTTTCTTCTACTTTTATAACCTTTCTTTTTTATTTATATTTCCTTTCCTTTGTACTATCTAGACTGTATACCGTTTATTACACCCGGTCTTATATTACAGAAGGATGGGGCTTTCGCGTGCTGATCTGGGACTCAAAGCAGGATTCTACCTAGATGAAAGGTTGGATAACTGAATCGCAAGTGGAGTATTATGAACCCAAGTACTTCGACTAATCATTGAGGGATTGGACGGCAATTGCAGCTCTCTGTGCTCTGAAGTCTAAAGTAATTAAGGATAGCGTCTGCCGTTGACTCCAACTGTGACGCGCTTGAGCACGAGACTGCTTTCATGCTATTGTTTCACTTGTAGCCAGGACGCAGATTGGATTGACCCTCCAATCCACACATCGAACACACTATCATTAAAAGGCAGCAACATTTCAGAGAAAGAGAGAGAGCCTGCATGACTCCTCGGGATAGAGCATCCAGGAGCTGCAGTATAGTTGGTTCGGGAAATGTCAACAAGCAGCATAATCTGCCGTGAAATAGACACTCACTCAGCCCCAAAGAACTCTGTCCATGAAAACAGGTGCACCAAGTCCAGCTATTGACAGCTCACATTGGTAACTGACGGTGGTCCCAAGTGGACATCTCATGTGTCAAAAGAGGCAGAAAAGAAGTAGGCAAAACATCGAAAGGCCAACGGAATGCTCACCATCGTGTTCAGCTTTCGCATCTGTTCGTTCCATTTGGCAAATTCCCGAGTGTACACCATCCAGATAAGGATGCCTACATAGAATGGGAGACAGGGCAGTGCATAAATTGTAATTCTGCCAACACACGACAGACCGAAAAAAACACCAGCAGGTATTAAAATAAAGGCTATAGCCTGATAAAACATCCACACACTGGCCAATAGAAAATGTAGTCATGTCATGAGATGCTAGTCAGTACGCAGTAGCCCACTCGAGGAAATCAAGAATGGCCATCTTCACTAGACTAAGCTTGAAGGCTGAGTAGTGAAGGAGGAGTATTTAAGTGGTGGAGGATACAGAGCTCAAGCAGTTTCTCATCAGTTGAGGTAGGTCGATATTTTGTTATAGCTATCTTCAGGCACTCGTTCATGCAAAGGGGCCTACTTCGCTGGGCTACCAAGGTGTCTACGAAGTATCACGTGGATATCTCAGACCATTCAAGAAAGGCGACTGAGGTGGTTTAGACACGTTCTCCGTCGTCCGCTCCACGAGCTTAGTTATGCTGCCCTCGACCCGGCGCCGCAGCCCACCTGGAAGATTCGAAGAGGAAGGCAACTGAAGGCTTGGCTCGACACCGC